GACATTAACTAAGCAAATCCATCCAATGGCAAAAAGAACTGGTAGTTGCAAAGGAAAAAGACTCATGCTTCCTAGGTCAGAGTTAAGTCAAGTGAGATCCTGGAAACTATAAATGCCACAGCATCGTCCCAGGCAAGCACTGACTATTTGGAAATGTAGAGAAAACAAGTTGAAAGCTTTCATGAAAGAGCTGTTAGGAGCACGCACATCAGTGGCCTGCAAATATCATCTCATATAGGAAAGGTCCTGCATTCAGGAGGAGGGCTTTTAGTGATGTAACTGGAAACCATAGTATGAACCAGCAATGTTTCTACACCAAGGATCCCACTCATGGTCTCCTACTCACATCCACACCCTGAAGACATGTCTCTCAGAGCTGCAATTGCTTCTCTGTTTGCTAAGAACAATCTCCTCAATAGGAATATGTAGCATCTGCCCAAGTTATCCATTTGATGTGTTCTCTGCCAGTTAACAGATAACCGAGTCTGCTTCAGATTAGTAATGGATGCCCATCTCATCTGGTACATTTCAGATTACAGAATTACTCAGTCCACAAAAATTTACTCCTTTGGTGTGACAGGATTCTAAAGAAATTCAAATCTCTCTCTCTCTCTCTCTCTCTCTCTCTCTCTCTCATACACACACACACGTATGCACGCACACACACCATGCAAAACTCTGGCAAATAGGCTGGAGAAATGGCTCAGAGGATAAGAGCACTGGCTGCTCTTCCAGAGGTCCTGATTTCAATTCCCAACAACCACATAGTGGCTCACAACCATCTGTAATGAGATTGGGTACCCTCCTCTGGCCTGCAGGCACATATGTGGGCAGAACATTGTATACATAATAAATAAATTTAAAAAAAAAAAAAGCAAACAACAAAAATCCCAAACCATGGCAGACAAGATCCTTTACACATTTATGAACTAACACAGGACATTTATAGGCATTATAATCCCTTGTTTAATCTTAATTATCTGTATCATGAAATCTCCTTTGGAAAATTCATGCTATTTTTCAGTCCAGTTTGAGAAGACCTGGTCAATGATTCACATAACATCTTGGTAAGATGTAGAGCACCTTGAGAGCCATGCAGCCTCATAGCGTTATGGAAATCATGTCGTTGTCCAAACTCAAATATTCTGTTACAGAGAATTTAAGTTGCGACAAAAGAATCTCAGGTATAATGCCAAATCATTGGGAGAGCATTTATCAAAATTTTAAGAGTAAATATCTGTGGGTAAAGGCTTTGTATGTGCCATAAACAGTGACTACTTGTTAAAAAAAAAAAAAAAAAAAAAAAAAACCTACCAGATAAAACAGCAACAACAATAATACAACTGCAACTACTGGCTAGTGTTTCTGCTGATAGGGCAGCAAGGGTTGTAAGCCTGTAATTCCTGGGAGAGAGAAACTGTAAGCGGAGTGCTCTCTATAAAGACAGTGAATTTGTGTGTATCAGGATCTCCAACAGGAGAGCATCCTGCGGGTCAGTGCCCATCACAAGACAGCATTTTGTCCCACACTGAGCCAGTGCATGTGCCACCTGCAAAGCAGGTGCCATATTCCTGACTTCTCTTCAGAAACCCCACCCCTGTAGCAGTTGGGAAATCTCTCCCATTTTAGGGCTCTTTAAAACACAAACAGACGAGATACACATCATACCACAAGACCACACTGTGAATCTACTTGATTAAACTACTTTCTTGGAAATACTCAAAACTCTTTTGTTTTTAGATTTGGTATGTCTTAGCCCCCTTTATAAAGAGATGTAAAACAGTTGTTAGTAAACCTCCATCCTTGATTTCTCTGACTAATTTTACAAAAGGAATATTAAACACCTACTTGGGCTCAGACAAACCAAAGCAAGTTATTCTTCAGACAAAATGCTGTCATCTTCAGCTATGAAAATGCTAGCAGGTGTCCTTCCAGCAGGCAGAAATCTCCCAGAGAACCAGATAAACAGGGGGATTAGTTCTCAACTGCAGTGGGCTTTTTGGTTCCTAGAGTGCACAGGGCTTTTAATACTTCATCACTTATTTTGCTATTTATGAAACTAGACACTTCGTATTTATCATGGTGCACAGGTAAGATATCAGTTGGTGACTCAGCTCCAAAACAACACACATGTCAGGTCGTGTGGCTCCTGGACTGTCCTTCCTCATCTACCCTGTTCGATGCTTCAGGAATGGAGTGTGAGGGAAAACCTGACTCTACATTCAACCTTCAAAAGAGGACACGCCTATCTGCTTTCTCCTGAATAAGATATGCATCACAGAAAAAAAAGTTTCAAATCCTAAATCACCAGATGCGCTAAAACCAGGCTCTCTCATTACTGATATTTCACATTTCCCCCCTAGTAAACAGTAGGTATTTAATAATTAAAAGTGTGTCTCCATTGCCCTCCCCAAGATGTAACTTTCTTCTAGTATCTCTTCAAACACTTTTACAAATATTTAACTTTATTAATGAATGATATGCAGACGTTATTGTATGAAGAAACCTTTTAAGTACATATTGAACACATTTTTTTTAAACGCACCTCAGGATATCTTGCTTTGTTATATCCATATCACATACTTCAAGACACAGGGCAAATATATGTACTTCAGATTTCGGCTTTGTGGTGGTTTAAATGGCAATGGCCCCATAAGCCCGGAGAAAGTGGCACTATTAGCAGCAGGTGTGGTCTTTCACTGGGGGTATGGGCTTTGAGGTTTCAGATGCTCAAATCAGACCCAGCGGCTCACTCTCTCTTCCTGCTGCCTGCCAATTTGGATGTAGAACTCTCAGCTACCCTTCCAGCACCAAGTCTGCCTGTGCGCTTGCTGCTGCGTTCCCTGCCATGACGTCAATGACTAACCCTCTGAACTGTAAGCCAGCCCCAATTAAATGTCTTTCTTTATAAGAGTTGCCATGGACATGGTGTCTCGTCACACTAGTAGAAACCTTAAGACGCTGTGAAGGTAAAATTTTTATAAAGTTTTGTGAAATATTAAACATGGACATAAATGCCCTTTGAGCTACAACTACCAACTTATAAGACTTGGAGGACTGAAAAGAGTAAAATCAAACAGAATCCAGACTAGAGAAAATTCTATGAGATAAAGTCTACAGAATGAAGGCTGGGGTTTCCTCATTAAAGGGAAAGGAGGAGGAGAAAAGGCAAGGAAATCTGGAGGTTTAATTTTCGTCCAGGTTTGTATAAACAAAGCATAAAAAGGAAATTGTAAGTCTACTATAAAATTAAGATTTATTTTTTAAAAACTTTTTTTTAAAAGACAGTACTTCTCTGTGTAACAGCCCTGGCTGTCCTGGAATTTTGATCTGCAGATCAGGCTGATCTTGGACTCACAGAGATCCACCTGCCTCAGCCTCCTGAGCTGATTAGAGGTGTTCACTACCATCGCCTAGCAAAATTTGAAGATTTAACAAAGAAAAAAAAAAAAAACAACAAAACAAAACAAAAAAACAAAAACAAAAACAAAAAACTACCATGAATTCAGTCGAGAAAATGGTACTGTGCTCATTTCTTTCAAAAGAACCCTGGTCTTTTAGCTCTCACAAAACAGCTTCAGCTTGTTTCCACATTATTTGGGGCTAAGGGGAATGTTAGGTGTAGAGAGAGGTGGGTATGTGTCAGGCAGGGTCCTGGGTGCATGGCACATCGCTGTACTTCAATCTGTTTCATGGGTTACAGAGTATCGAAGTCCTCTTTAGAATATGGAGACAACCCCGCTCCCTGTATAAAAATTCTTTAGATCAGACACTCCCCAGTTAACTGGAAGTTTAAGCGCAGAGGAAAGAGAAACTTTTTTTTTTTGGGGAGAATCACAACCTAGCAGGAAAGGAAGTAAAAGACACAAGCATAAGCTCTTCAAATCTCTGGCCTCCCTAAATCCAGTGAAATAAGGAGTAGACCCTGTAGCATTGAACAATCAGGATTTCACATGCAGGCAACTGATGGAATGGAATGTGTGAGTCCTGGAGCTCCATGGCAAAGTCCTCTTCGTGGGTGACCCAAATAAGCTTTGGGTGACTGAATGAGGCCTTTGACGAGACCATCATCTCTCCTTAGTGCTAGAAATGTTCGCATATCATTAGAAAACATATAACAGATAGTTGTAAGATGATGATGTATTTTGTCTTTCGTCCTCTCTAATCCACCTCCATCAGCTCATCTCCAAAACCCAGTCACAAACTTGGCTGGGTTTGAAAAGCAAATCACAAACGCAACAGGTGACTTGGTTAGTGCGGCAGGTGAATTCTGGCATCTGCATAAACAGTAGGTGACCTATGGCATCATAAACAGTTCTCAAAGCTTCCAAAGGAATGTGTCTGCTTGCCGGTTGAGTGATGTCCCTGGAGGCTCTGGGCATCACGGCCAGCCTGTGTTGAGTTCTGCCAGGCACACAGGAAGAACCAGTGGTAGAAACACATACCCGAGTGGGCAGGGAATGATAGGGAAGGCAGCTTTGGGGGGCTACAGAGCAACAACGCTCTCTGGTCTAGTGATGTTGACACAGACTCATGTCCAGTGCTTGGCCTGATGTCTCCGGGTCATCTTGAGATTAAGGACTAATAACAGCACAACCATGACACCCAGTCCTGCTCTCCAATGGGCTTAACAATCTACATGTGTGTCTTTGCATTTTGCCTTCCCCTTATATTTTATGCAACAACAGTAACATAATTGGTGTATGGTGTCTAGTCTTAGAGGACTGGGATTATTGAATGACCAACTTGGAGAGGCAAGAAAAAAAAAGCTCAAGTCCCCACCCAAGAGAAGACTGAGCACATCAGGACCAACATGACCGAAACAAAGTATTTCTTGTACTTTTATGTTCATTGTGAATTAATAATAATAATAATAATAATAATAATATAAATAATAATAATCAACCATCCAAGCATCAGATACCCAGTAAGATGCAAGAGCTGCTTTCTCCTGACAGCCTGGACAAAGTGGGTGGATTAAGGAAGTGAATGTAGCCTACCTGAAGACTGCCAGAGTCAGCGACCAGAGCACTAGTGGCTTCCGCAGTTCAAACTTCGCTCGCTTGTTCATCAGATGCCGACCACCAAATATAAAGGCAGCGTACAGTGCAGAGAACAGGAAGGACTTCTTCCTAGGAAGAAATAAATGGACCAAGCCTTGTGAGACAGGACTCCTGACGCACCTTCCACACAGCTGCCCTGTCTGTGCGAAAGATAGTTTCTTGAGTAGACGCCCCGCTTCGATGAAACATTAGAATTCACTTGGAGACACGCTGTTGGCAAATTCATCGTGTGGCTGCCAACCTGACTGACACAGTAAGCACCTTTCAGCGTAGACGGATATTCTCTTCAGGCCTAGGATCAAAAATTTCAGCATAGCACCGAGGAACTCTTCATTAGAGGAATCAACTTTGTTCTTTTCAGGGAAATGAATTGAAAATAGAATCGTGGTGTGGGTAGACCGCAAGTATTAACTTTCAATATTAACATTAGTTTAAAAAAAAAAAAAAAAAAAAAAAAAAGCTAAACTGTCAGATACAGATATATGCACAAACTGAATTCAAGTGTGTTTCTGATAGAACCATCTGCAGGACAACTGAACGGCTCTCTCTCTCCAGGTGAGTTGTGCTTACTGAAGATCCGGGGCCAACCAGATTAAAACCATCTTGAGAGACACAGCAGTCACATGCAAGTGTGTAAAAGGAGGAAGTTTTTTTTTCCCTCCCCTTTGAAACATATTTCAAATAAGTTTGTTCTTATTTGAACAGACTACTGTAAAAAAAAAAAAAAAGCAGTTGTAGAACTTTAGAACTATTTATCATTATGGATACACACTGAGATAGAGTTATGAATGAAATAGTGCGTCCTAGACTTGTTGTAAAATACCCTGGGAAAGCAAGTAGGGAAAGCACACCAGGACAAAAGGGGTGACGGAGAGCCCCAAACACACAGAAACCTCTTTATACATTGAAAAGCATTAAAAACATTTCCCATTTTAAAATATTTCATAATAACCTTTTTTGTTGTTGTTTTTCGAGACAGGGTTTCTCTGTATTGCTTTGGAACCTGTCCTGGAACTCGCTCTGTAAACCAGGCTGGTCTCAAACTAACAGAGATCCGCCTGCTTCTGCCTCCCGAGTGCTGGGACTAAAGGTGCTCACGTGCCACTAACGGCTGGCTCATCATAAATTATTTTTAAAAGGGTGGGAAATACATATGTAAGTATTTGACACCCATATTAAGACAATATGGAAGGGTGGTCACTATTGGAATTATCGTGGTCTCATTCACAGAAGGGTGGCAACTGTTAGAAATAACAAAGATATATGGGACCTCCAGAAGCAGACAGAGAAAGAATGAGAGAAGGAAGGGCTGGGGGCTGCACAGGCTCTGTAAAAGTCCTCTTTAGACTATGGAGACACCCTCCCCATATAATACTCCTCAAACGTTTAAGCACACTTCTTTTAACATGGGTATCCCCCATGCCATAAGACCAACAAAGAAATGGCTGAAGAATAAGCTGAAAAACAGCATGAAAATCAAAACATGCTGAAGAATGTAATGTGCAAAATGCTTCACATATTATTTCCCTGACTGTATTACTATTTATCCAAGAAACACTGTGTGACCTACTTGGTTGAGTCCCAACCTGGTAGAACTATGATCCCAGGATTCAACCCACAAGTAGACACCGTGTAAATTAGTTCAAATACAGCCATGCAACCATGACAAGTGCCTGTTGGGACACATAATCCTGGCACGAAGTAGGCTCTTAGTGAATACATGCTGAATAAAGTTTTCACGCTTTCTAACTTTCTGAAGCAGGGAAATGACACTGTAGGTCCTCAGTAAACACTAAAACTGAAAAACAAACTACTCAGAAATAGACTATGGCATATTTTCCTCCTCCAACAAACTTTTTTTGCTCAAAAATAAAGCAAAAAAAAAAAGAAAGATAATTTTATGGAAAAAATATAACTAGGCAATCTTTTGAGAGATACCTTCATCCATAAACGCATAGACACAAGTGTATTTTTGCTCTACTAACTGCCCAGGATATCGTGTCAGATTATGTAGATTGAATGAAACCCACTCTTTCTACTCACGTATGAAGTTAGGATATATAAAACATACAAAGCCCATACGTGAACAATGACTTGTGTATTTAAAAAAAAAATCAAAACCTGCTATTGCAAGCAATGGTAGCATTAAACGATGCAGCTTTTTAAAATTTCTTTTTCTTAATTATAAAGGTAACAGGTGACCGGAACCACATGGGGCTTATTTACTCAGCGATTCCCCTGGGCAGATATCCCACTGAAAGGCCTCATCACTTAATCCCCAATCACCTCCCCCTACAGTGTAAGTACACTTCCATTTTAGAGGAAAAGAAATGGCGTGGAGGGTAAGTAGCCCTTAGGCTTCTTCTCAGTGAATGTACAGGAGAATCAGAAGTTGTCCTTGATGCACTGTCACCTAAGCAAGTCGGGGTCCCTTTGGTGACCTCTGTGAAACCAGCGGGAAAGCGTGTTTCTGTGAAAAAGCCAAGGCACCCAACCCACACCTTCATGTTTCAACTGCTCAATCTCCCAGGTCTGTGAAGCTTTCACTCGCCCTCTCCTTGCTTCTTTGAGAATGAAAATGCCTCTAAAGAGGACTTCTCTCACATTTAAAATGATTTCTTCCCATTGTATGTATGGGAGTGTTGGCCTTCAAACATGTATGTGAGCCATGTGCATGCCTGGTGTCTGAGGAGGCCAGAAGAGGGCACTGGATCCCCTGGAACTGGAGTCACTGGGAGTCCTGAGCAGCCATGGGGGCTGTAAAGATGAGCCTGGCCCCTCTGCAGGAGCAAGTGCTCTCTTAACCACTGGGCCGTCTGCTCCCATCTCTTACCACTATTTTTAAGTCCTGGTTTTGGACATGAACTGAATTACTTGTAATCATGTGCCAACCAAGTTACATGGTGTCTTTATACAGTCACATCATTCTAGCCACCCAGGGGAAATGCGCCTCAAGAACTACGGAAGAATAAAATTCCCTCCTTTGTTCTTTTGGTTTCTTCCGTAATTCCCCCACTTCTTGAATGGCATTTAGTTCTAAGTCACTGCTAATGTCCTTGCCAAGGTCAATTTTCTCTCTTACAGTTGATTCTTTAAAAGTCTTCCATAACTCAAGGCATGATGGCACGCACCAGCAACGCTGACACCTAGGAGAGGCAGGGTTCAGGGGGAGGTCAAGTCCCTCATGCTACAGGAGAGGGAATAAGGAGGCTGATGACCTCAGTGGTCACGTGGTCGCTGCATACACTGGTCAAGACCAGCCAAAATATTTGTGGTCACTACCAAGAATGTTGGGAGGCAGAAATGGACTGTTACGGGCTCTGGAAGTCCCAGACAGTGATGAGAATGACATTTGCTTAGTATGATTAGAACATCACATGGCCACTGTACACTACAGACTCTTCCATTGTGGTTCACCATGCTTTGGGTGACTTTATAGCTAAATGGATTCTTCCATAAAGAACTGAATCTCAGCACTTGCAGGGACAATGGAAGAAACCGGATGTCTTAGTAACAAGTGAGAGGGAAACAGAAGAATGAAGAAGAGGAGGGGGAGGCTGCAATACAAACGTAGGGGAACTGTTTAGGGATGGGGGAGGCAGGAGGAAGACAGAGGGTGAGGGAATGGATGGGGTTCAAAGTATCTTACACACATGGATGAAAATACGGAGCACAAAGCTTCAGACTCCCTCGGTAAGAAACTCATCTACTGAAGCATTAACTCCCGCTTCAAAAGTTATAATTACTCTCCCAGTGTTTGGAAGGTTTGACAAACTGGACAACTTCAGTGACTGAGAACTAGCTTTCCTACCAGGTCCTCTCTGGTAAAGGTTCAATAAGAGTCCAGTTGAGCAATGCCTGGTTGCTGGCCTACTCAGTGTTTAGGATGGATTAGTGAGGGCCCTGATGCTTCGATAGTAATCCAATAATTCTCCATTTTGCTGGAGGCAACTAGGGATGGGAATAATGTGGCTACTGCAATGTTTTATTACCAGATAATTAGTAGTCCCTAGGGAGCATGGAGTTACCTTTGATAATTAATCTTAATGTACATCACAGCACAAGCCGTGCTCTCGGGTACCTTTCAGGGAGGTGAAACTGGAGCTCTTCACCAGGCACTGAACCAAATAGGAGGTAGGTCAAAAGAAATACACATTGGGGCCTGAGAAGACAGCTCAATAGAGAGGACCTGAGTTCAAATCGAATCTCACAAGGCCATGTGTGCCTGTCACACTTTCGAGATTGGGCTGAGCCAGGTAGATCCCAAGAGCTCCCTGGCTAGCCAGTCTACTGGGAAACTCACTGTGAGTTTCAGGTTCAGTGAGAAAACCTGTCTCAAAACAAAAAACAAATACGACAACCCAAACAACAAAAAGTAAAGTGGAGAATGGCACACAACACTCCCTCTAGCTTCTGCAGTGGGGACATGGGCACACATACTTGCACACAACACACAACACACACACACACACACACACACCACATGAACACACCTAATGCGTATTGCTCTGTTGTGCTTGTACTTTTTTGAAACAGAAACTTTTTTGTCCCTTACATTTCTGTCATCAATAATGAAATGAGTAATAATGGAATTTGGTTTATAACTAATAAGAAAAACCAGTTAATTTATATACTTAAGAGATTTGGATTTTTCTATAATACTACTTTATCCCCAATCATTCCTCAAGGTGGGTTTTTATTCTCACTGGAATAACTGAATACCTTATACAAACCCAAATGAATTTTTTTTTAAACTTGTGGGATGCCTTTGAAGCCAATACTTAGCTTACACCTCCTTAGGGTTCACACTGAAATCTGACAGCAATTGGGCCCTCCTCCAAGAGTCAAGCCAAGTGGATTTTCCAATGAAAGAACTTTCACGTGGGTGGTATTTCAATGCAGGGTAACTCCTAATGAGCACCTTGCAAAGACGGCCCAAGTTCCTTCCTCAGTATTTATTTCATGTTGGTCTAAATGACCTTGTTTAAGGCTGCCATGCATGTCCAAGGTACGGGGTTAAAAAAAAAAAAAAAAAAAAAAAAACTGAAAAAAAAATTCATGGAAATGAA